ATGCAGCAGAAGCATGGATTTAATGAGCTTTGACGGCCATGAAAGGACAAACACCCCCTCAGCTCTGATCCTCTGCCCCTTTTATTCAACTGCGCACATCCGCCGACTGTTAATAACTATATAAGCAGTCAAAGCATAATTAAAAATGTCGGGAGGGGGGGTGGGGGTAGGTTTTGACCTGAAATTACTGTTAAATTGTCGAGTCGGGTGGGGTTCGGAAATGATGACTACCAGCTGGGGGCCGGGTCGGATCGGATCTTTTGGGCCCCAATTCAACTCTACCACAGATGACTGATGCTTCCAACATTTTCTTCTTCTGCATGTTTACAAAGAGCTCTCGTTGACTTTAGTCAAGTTTTCCCCGGCACTTTACACTGTGTGTCAACGCTCGTCACCTCATCTATGAGCCCGGAGAACCCTACAGCGTAAACTCATTTCAGTCCCTTGTATCTACGGTTTGTTCACTTCGGTCATGATCCAGACCTCTTGACCCATAGAGCTTTGCTTTTTCGTCACCATTACAGACCAGAGCGTCAACCTCATTACTACAGACGAGGTTCCAATCCAGCTCCCAGTCCATCTTCTTTAACAAAACTCCCAGATACTTGAACTCCTACACTCGAGGCAGAGACTCAGCCCATCACGGAGTGAGCGTTCTACCTGAGCCAGGAGATTCACACTCAGCTGTGAAACATCTGGGCACGTTTGAAGGTTGAAGTTTGAAGACACCAACAGAAGCACATCATCTGCAAAGAGCAGAGATGAGACCCTGAGGTTCCCAAACCAGACACTCTCCTCTCCACGACTGCAACTGGAGATCCTGTCCATGAACACCAAAACCAGGATCAGGGACAAGGGACAGCCCAGACAGAGTCCAGCAGACTTTGTTCTGAGGATCTGAACACATCTTTGGTTACACAGGAACTGATAAACCTGTTGTACACAGCAATTACAGCAACTTCTCAATCATATCTGTATACTAAAGGAAAGGAATCGTGAACGAAACCATTCATATTTACAATAAAAAAGATCATGTCCCTTTATTATTGACATGTTTCACTGTAACTGAGATAAATTAGTAATATTCTTCCTAACCAGAGTTCAAACTGAAACATAGACAAACGGATTCAAACGGTTCCTTCAGGGTGTTTTTTTTAATAGTGCTGGATGAAAGACGGTCATGTCTCAGTGGGTTCTCCTATGAGCTTTGGGATTTCAACCAGCAACCTTCTAGTTACAATCTGGCTCCGGCAGCCTTTGGGCATTTCAGCTGCTGACATGTTGGCAGGCTGCAGCACCGACTCGTTAGCTCAAATCACAGCCTCCACACTCACTCTAACATGGAATAATGAGAATCCTGTGGGTATTAATTAGAACTGAGAGAGGGCTACGCACACACGCACACATGCACGCACACATGCACGCACACACGCATGCACGCATGTATGCACATGCACACAGAGGCTCTTTGGAGTTTTGCTGTTTGGTTTGTTAAAAATGAAAACTGAGGAAAAGTTTGACTCTTTTACTCAAAGAAGAGTAAAAAAACAAGCGTCCTGCACAAAAACCAAACACTCATCATGTGGGCTGCCATCGAACACACCGACCATCCAACAGCACGCTCATCTGTTTGTCCACAACGTGCACAGCTGTTGCTTCTTACTTGTCTGTCAGCGCTGCATTTTGACCCGACACCTTTTAAATGTGACCATTTCTGCCAGCTCACTAATTAATAACCACAAACAATTATCACCTCCTGGACATGAGAAGAAAACATAAAATGAGAGAAGAGTCCTGGATAACCATCATATTCAGTCACTACAGCACCAGTTCACAACCGATGATACGAAAACCAACAGAATTTAACACCACTTGTTCTTGTCAAGGGCGGACGCTTCCCCCTACTCTCCCTCCTCTGCTTTGCTTTGCTCTGTCCTGTCTGTGAAACTGCTTCAGAGCCTCTCTACATGTCTACTGAACCATAAGTTGTTGCTATGGATCTGGTCTGTTGGTCTCAGATCACACCATTGGTTGGTTCTCTAACTATCTCTCAGATCGGAGGCAATGTGTTCAACATAATGGTACTTCCTCCAGTTATTTAACAGTCAACAATGGTGTACCACAAGGCTCAGTCTTAGGACCCACCCTCTTTACAATCTACATAGGTAATGTAGGTCAGAGCACACCTGATGCATCCTTACATTTCTATGCTGATGACACAGTTGTTTATTGTTGAGCTAAAACAGTTGATAAGACTTTCCAGCTTTTGCAATTCGCATCTGACATCATCCAGTCTGATTTGTTCCACCTCAAACTTGTCTTAAATGCCGATAAAACCAAAGGGATGTTTTTTTCAAACAGGAAGTCAGTCCCAGCAGTTCTTCCTCCAATTTTATCGTCAAATGGTGTCCCCATTGAGTTTGTTGATTCCTATAAATATTTGGGTATCTTGGTCGACTCGCATCTCTCTTTTAAGCTCCATGTGGAAAACCTAGTAAAGAAACTGAAGGTTAAACTGGGTTTCTTTTTCAGAAACAGATCCTGTCAAACTCTGAATGTTAGGAAACGCCTTGTATCTGTGACTTTTCTTCCCTCCATTGATTACGGTGACATTATTTACATGAACACTCCTACAAGAACCCTGCAGATGTTGGATGCTGCAGATGTTGGATGCTGTCTATCATGGTGCACTAAGATTCATAACTGGCTGTAACTACCGTATCCACCACTGCACCCAGTATTCACTGGTTAACTGGTCACCATTAACTTCACACAGACTCTCTCACTGGTACATTTTCATCTTTAAATCACTTCTTGGTCTGCTGCCTTCATACATCTCCTCCTACATGTCTCTGCGTGAGTGCAGCTACAGCGTGCGCTCTCAGGACATTATTACCTGCAGTGTTCCCTCAATGAGGACTGAACTAGGCAAAAGGACCTTCTCCTACTCCGCTCCTGTTTCCTGGAATATCTTACAAAAAGACCTGAAGCTCTCGACCTTGACCTCTCTAAGTGTCTTTAAGAATCTGTTGGACTCCTGGCAGGGACCAATGCAAACATGTTCCTGTTTTTAGTTTTCTACATTCGCCTTATAATCCAGCTGTTTTTGTTACTTTTTTGTCCATCTTATTTGTAAAAAAAATAAAAATAAATCTGTATGCCTCTTTTATGATTGTCCGTTGTTGTCAACATACTTTGTTGAAATCAGGTCTCTCTTGTAAATGAGTCCTCGAGACTCAATGGGATTAACCTGTAGAAATAAAGGTTGAGTGAATGGTCTCTCAATGCAATTGATAAAATTTTCTCAACGAGAAGACAAGCACCAAGGATGCACATACAACAGGATTTATGATAACTGGTTTCCTGCTTTTTGGATTCGGCTTGTTCCTGGTCTATCAACAAACAAGGAAGTTGTCGGCAGCAAATTTGGCCCTGGTCAGACTGCCAGCGTCTGTCCACTTCATTTGGATGGTCGGGATTTGAGAGGACCAGCAAAGACTCCAGGCAGACACGAATCATTAAAGTTCTGCCTGTTCCCAAAACAATTGTTGCTTATCTGAATTCTGGCCTTGACTGGCCACTTTATCTCAATTCGCCTGGAGGTCCTGTAAATTGATGCTCTGCCCCCTCCCGTCCCCTCCTAGCGAGGAAGTTTGTGGACCTATCAGAGGGACCCGGCTGAATAAACATTGTGTCATCATTTCAGGACTCTCAGATTCTCTCTGGCGCTGTTCCAAGTCGACCTCGGCACGAGAGTGTTTACGGATCTCACCAGAGGGAACTGGCTGATTGTACCATTCTTATCAGAACTCTTGTGCCTCTGGAGCAGAGGTGGGCAATTATTTTTTCCATGGGGCCACATGAGAACCAACAAATATTGTGGAGGGCTGGACTTTTTCATGCAACCTTTATTTAGACAGGTAAATCCCATTGAGCCTCGAGGACTCATTTACAAGAGAGACCTGATTTCAACTTAACTCAATACTGCATAATAATAGTATTTCATTATTAAAAGCAGTACATAGCACTGTTTTAACAAGCTGGTAAGAGTATTTGTTATGATTAAGCAACGAAAAAGCGAGGTTTCCTTACAAAAATGTCATTTATTCAATTAAATTTCCCAGTACAATGGTAAACTGTTAACATTTTTACCATTTGTGACGTTATATTAGTGATCATTTTCAGTCACATTCACCCCAAAACTCATTTTGAGTTTTATATACTGCTGGAAAAAGTTCTTAGCTTTGTAAATATATCACAATATTGTCTTTGTACTCCAAATATTATGAAACATCATATAATAGTGATCGTCACTGAACTGTGATTTCGAGTCCCGGTTCTTTACGTGCCTACATTTGTAGTCTAAACATCTCATTTGGTGTTTACCAGTTCTTTTTTCTTGTTTAGTGAGAGAAGTTTAGTCTCTGTTGGGCTTTAACGGAAATGTTAAAGTCAGGTTCAAGGTCTGAGGTGGAGATGTGAAGCAAAGCTGACATCTATCAGTGAGAGAGGATCTATATCTGGATTTGGTTAACTTCATTTGTTTACATATGTATTTTGTAATTCCCGTATGGGGGCCGGTGAGAGTCAACCAAAGGGCCGCATGTGGCCCTGGGGCCGTACAATGCCCAGGTCTGCTCTGGAGTGTCCTTGACATGACCACCGCTCTTGTCGTCCCTGCAGGACGTCTCCGTCACTATGTGCCTATGTGCGGGATGTTTTTTTCAATATCAGGGTCTTTCTCCTCGGTCAAGGAGAAAGAGTTCGATAGGAATTATTTTTGCCTCCAAATCCTGTACATGTGTCACTTTCATTACTTTTTGTCCGTCTAAACAGGTCTCACTTGCAAAAGAGTCTTCGAGGCTCAATGTGATTTATCTGCGTAAATAAAGGTTGAACGAATGAATGAAAAATGAAGTAAATGAACTAAACTAAAAGACAAAGTGTTCTTCCCATTCCAGCCATTTTATAACTAACAAGTTATAAATAATCTTCCTTACCTGATTATTGGCAGGGCCCCCCTCTGTTCCTGTGCAAGGGGCCAACGTGAGGACAGGCGTCTCCTGGCCCTCCACCTTATGAGACTCCAGACAGTTCTGTCTCTGTCTGATCACCCCGGACTGGGAGTCCGAGTCATCTGGGACCCTGATGAAGACAAAGAGACTTCACCGAAGACGGTAAATGACTCGTCCGTCAACAAACAGCAACATGTAGGACAAGAAAAGACCTTGTGTAACCTTTGACCTTGATTTCTGACCTTGACCTTGGAGCTGTGGTGATGATGCAGATGTGCATGAAGTTTATTTTAATTATCTTGACGGATCAGAAGTTATGGGTCGGACATTTTGACTGACGATGACTACAACACGAGACGTCCACCTTTGACGAACATTTCAAAAGTACAAGTTTGGTGTTCTTAAAGTTTAAGACCTGACGTCTAAAAGAAACAAAGAACCACGCTGACCCCACCCCCACCTACAGATCAAACTAAAAATATATTTATTGTGATGTTCAGGCTCAGGCATTTAAAAAAAAACACTTAACACAGAGACATAAATACAGAACCCATAAAATATTTGGAATAAAACACAAACAGTCAATAAGTGACAATAAAAAGAAAAAACATATAAAGTAAAGACGATTTAAATGTAAAACCAGTTAGAATTTCAGGTTTAATTATGATCCTGTGTCACAAAGAGAGAATATTTTCCGTCTTTGTCTTTTTCTGCATTTAAATAAAATCACAAGCTGAAATTTTAACGCCTCGGCCTCTAAAGTTCTAAAGTTGTTCAACTTTCCGTCTTCTTCGTTAAATCCTGAGCTCTAAACTCGAGCCCGAGTCGCGCCGCATTAATTCAATCTGCTATCTCTCACTTTTAATAGGCGTTAAAGGTTATTTAGCGTTTTAAGGGTCAGCTCTGTTGTCCCCTGAGAGGAAGGCTGTTAATTCCATTCTGGGGGATTAACCGGGGCCTCCGGTGAATAAATGGCTGTTTGAACGTGTGAAAGGAAGTGTGTTGATGTGTTGGTCCGGTCAGGTGGACGTGTGTGTTTGGTTTGTTGCAGGAAGGATCGTGTTTGGGCTGCGGTGGAGCCGCGTGCAGACAGGTGAAGCTGAGGAGACCCTCGAGAGATTAACGTCCATCAGGACGGAGCGGGACATTTCACTCGCAAAGACAGGAAGTGAGGGATTCATTAAACGAGGAGAAATACAGAAAAACCAACCGAGCGTTAACGTGCGCTCGCTGTGGACGACAGGTCACTGTGATTAAACGAGACAAGTCGAGACAAGTCGAGACAAGAGAGGTTTAAAAAAACGCAGCGCGAGAAAACTTCTCTTCAAAGAACAAGATCTTCTTCAAGAAGAATGTTTTTAAGGAACTAAAGAGAATTTTAAATCAAGTTCATTATTTTGAAAATATAAAAGTTACAAAACCCAGAACTCAGAGCAGCCATCTACATCATCCATCCATCCATCCATCCATCCATCCATCCATCCATCCATCCATCCATCCATCCATCCATCCATCCATCCATCCATCCATCCATCCAGCCAGCCAGCCATACATCCATCCATACATACATACATCCATCCATCCATCCATCCATCCATACATCCATCCATCCATCCATCCATCCATCCAGCATTCATCCATCCATCCATA